CCTCATACTGCTGGTAAAACAGAAAAAAACGTAATATTGTAGAACTGAGCTGCAATACTTCAAAATTGCAGTACATTTTCCTTTTTACACAATTCAAATACTAAAATTTATATTATTACCTCTTTATTTAAATGTCATGAGTTGAAATTCGAAACATGGTTTTTTGCATCAAAAAAGACTTTGAGCAGTACCCCTAAACATAAGCGAACGGAATATTTGGAGTTTCTGGCATCTATGACCCATTATTTCAGTCAGTTATTAAAAATCTTCAAATGTTCACTACTGAATAATTCCTTACTTTGCGCACTACACCTTTTTTATTCTGCACTTTTTGTACTTTTTTAATAATTCCATTAGACTCATAAATTTATTTTACTTACGAAGATTTCATAAGAACTGTGATCAAAAAAGGAACTGTCTCTTTTTCGCTTCAAGTTTGAAGGAAATGTCATGAACAACTTTTAAAACGGACTGTGATCAATATGAGGCGAAGTTGGATGGTTTAATTAGGCTTTATTTCACTGTAAACGTTTTCTACGTAAAAATTAAATTGTAAATAAAAGTAAAAAGTACGATCACAAAACTTGTCAATTTTTAGTTTCATGTTGCTGCTGTACGTAGAAACGTTCTCTCTCATAGAAGGGCGACCAAACTAAACAGATTCTATATTTTTACGTATGATCTTACAAGAGCGAGTGGGTATCTACTGCCGCGATCCTTGTTAACATATTCCCTAACAAGAGATCTTAGATTTGGGAAAACTAAATGAAAATCAATGAGACGTAGCATTTACCCTAGTTATTCACTAAACCTCTATCCTATTCATGGACATGTTATCCGGTGAATCAAGTGGAGTAACTTCGCATCTTAATGAATTCGGTTTTGCATTCTCAAATTTTCGTATAATTCTTGGAAAAATATTCATTGAGCTCTAGACCAGGGCTGTTTCAATCAATAAAATAATTAGTATGAAAAAACATTTTCCCAATTTTTTTTTCAAATAGATGCAATATAGCAATCATTAGTCATTAATCTCAAATGCCCTCCAAAGTTTACAATTGAATCTTATGGGGGAAATTGAATATACTTCCATTGAATGTCAAGAAACTGCAGAAACGCGTATCTAGGTTTGCATCATTGCAGACTTCTTGTTATACGCTCTCTACATTAGAAACTACTTGACATCATTTCTTGAAAATTTCTGTGATTTTTTTCTCTCGTGCTTGAAGAACATTCCGTTAAATTGCAAGCAATGATTTGGGTTCGATCTCCATCTGACAGATAGAATAAGAGCGGAGATTTTGAAACCCCGTAACCAAAAATGTACGCTTTCTTGCAGATTTACCGTTGAGCTATTTTGTTTCCCGTGGACAATATTTGAGTTCAATTGAAACTCGTGTCCATTATGACATTCCTCGGCTTAAAAAAAAAAAAGATAGAATCTTCAATCTGTGAAACGATCTGTAGATCTTAATAATTGTAAAGAATTATAAGGAATGAGAGGGAAAAAATCCGCGCATCCTCCGAACACGTGTGTTGAATGGACCACTAGACAGGGTATGAAATTCAGCATTCTGATACATGTTTCTCACCCAAAATTTTACGTAAAATACGCTGCACACAACGAAAATTACCGAAATCAACTCCTTACGAAGATATTTATTGATTCTTGATAGGTGAATTCAAACCACCCGCTCATGAAAACTCAATGCTCTACGTGATTCACATCGCGCGCTAAACGTTATCATGACAGTCTCTGCGATATAAAAATCTAGCAACCTCAATCTTGACGCTTTGGCTCAGTTATAGCAAATTGCTAATAGTTTGAACAACACATGGTGGGAAATGAACATTGCTCGATTGAGGAGCTTGCTAAAACCGTTGTAGTGGGCGATTTGTCTCACGTAGAGCTTTGAGTTTCTTGTGAGCGGGCAGTTCAAATTCCTCGTAACCAATGTGAAATAAAAACGTTAATATCTTCGTTAGGAGTTGCTTTCAGTAATTTTTGTTGTGTGAATCTTTTTCTACGTGAAATTCTGGTTAAGAAAGATGGATCAGATTGCTTAAATTCGTACCTTGTCTAGTGGTCCATTAAACGAAAATAAAGTTATATCAAATACACAGCCTGAAAAACTAAAAAGAATACGTTAAAAATTGAAAAGATAAGGCTGGATATAAAAACTTCAAGGGTAACTTCTCCCCTACGAATGAACTAAAATCAAGTTTCCACCGATCAATTTTTTTGTAATTTTTTTTTGTAATTTTTTATCAGTTACAGTGGAAAATAAAACGAACCTCGACACCAAAATTTCCCAAAGTTGTGCCGAAATTTCCAGATTTTCTTCCCCTGTGCATTTACAAAATAGTACAAATCTGTTTATAGTTGTGAGTTTGATTTGACAAAATTTTACAATAAATGCGCGCAATAATCCGGCGGTTGCCGGAATGGAGAAATCGATCCTTAAAATCACAACGTCATAACTATGAACGGGTGGAAAGAAGGGTAATCAATTTGAAAAATTGCAAAGCAAAAAGAAGATGGCAGTCGTTTGAGATGTTTGTCGGAATAATCAGTGGAGTGCCGAGAGGACTCGCCGGATGGATACGCCGGAGGATACGTCGTTGAGTTGCAGAATTTTCTGCTCGTATCGGAAAGAGCTTGATGCAAAAACGGCTTTTTTCGCCCCCCTCTAGAAGTTCTTCAGACTTTGTCTATTGATTACTCATACTTGAGCGCTTCTAATCCCAAATTTTCAGACCCCCAAAAAATTTTGGGGGGGGGGGGGCTA